AGGAAGTGCTGGAAAAGGCTTGTTTCCAACGGGTAAAGCTAGGCATTTGGAAAATGACTATTTCTTATGGATAAAAGGAAGTGTTTGAAAAATATCTCATTTACTCACCCACATTGGAGAACTCTAAGTAATAGGCTTGGACGTTGGTGCTCCCAAGTAGCTAGTCCAAAGTCTCCATTATCCGAGAGCTTCCGTGGGCCTTGTGGATCTTCGTAACCTACCACACCACAATCCCTCATGCAAGACCCGTAAACCACATGACTTGGGTTCATGTAAGCTTGATAGGTGATCAGCATGAGAAAAATGTATTATTAGTTTGGCATGGTATGTACGTTATTTCTATATTTATTTAATGAATTAAATCCCAAAATACAGCTTGGATTAACGCATGACCGACATCATATGTTATATTGGGTTTTAAATATCTTTGGGCTTCCCGTGACTTTTTTGGGCCTCAACAATAAGCAATCCCAAACGAACCCATAATAGGTTTCCATGATGAGCATATTTCTCCAAACCCAGGCCTATGTCCAAATCTAGTGTTTGTGGCCCAAACCCTTTAACTTTAGGAGATTTTGTGCTTCAGGCTATGAGCCCATTTTTTCTCTGGGCCCAAATATCAGAGACTCTTCGGTGTTTTCACGTGCCGTTAGTTTGTTCCCCACATTCTTTCTTGCATGGTAGAGAAGACAACAAGAGAGAGAGTTTTATAACTCAACAACAGCATATGCTGCATATTACGAGCATGAAATGTTCCTCACAAATATATCATCAACCAAGACACAAATCACCCCAAAAACCATAACCATCCCTCTTGCTTTCCTCTTTACACACCCCACCCAACCCTCTCATCATCATCAACAACCACAACACCACCAACAAGACGGCGACCAAGACCAAACAAGCATAGACAACAGGTCTTACTGGACCAAAAAGATTCACACCCTCTGCACCGCACACCGCAACGTCGACCAAGCCCTTCACCTACTCGACCGCCTCCGCCTTCTCGGCTACCGTCCTGACTCCCTCAACCTCAGCAGCATTCTTCACGCTCTTTGCGACTCCAATCGGTTCGCGGAAGCCCACCACCGCTTTGCCCACTCCATTGCTTCGGATTGTGTCCCCGACGAGCGCACTTGCAATGTCATCGTCGCTCGGTTGCTCGATTCTCAAACCCCACATACCACATTGCGTCTTCTTCACCGTTTGAGTCATATTAAGCCTGAATTTGTACCCTCTTTGATTAATTACAATCGTTTGATGGATCAACTTTGCTTGCTTTTGCGGCCCTGGGAGGCTCACAGAGTGTTCTTTGACATGCTCAGTAGAGGGCATTGTCCCAACGCTGTTTCTTACACTACCTTGATTAATGGCTACTGTCTTATTGGCGAGTTAGGTGATGCCCAGAAGGTGTTCGACGAAATGGGTGAAAAGGGCGTAGCGCCCAATTCCCTCACGTATAGCGTGATGATTCGCGGTGTTCTTCGGAAGAGGGACGTTGGGCGTGCCAAGGAATGGATGGGCAAACTTTGGGAGATAATGAAAGGTGAGGATGATACGACTGTAAAATCTGCGGCTTTTGCAAATCTCATCGATTCTATGTGTAGAGAAGGGTATTTTCAAGAAGTGTTTGGCATTGCGGAAGACATGCCACAGGGGAAGAGTGTGAATGAGGACTTTGCTTATGGACAAATGATAGACTCGCTTTGTAAAGCCGGAAGGCATCACGGAGCGTCAAGGATTGTTTACATCATGAGGAATGCAGGGTTTGCTCCAAAGCTAACGTCCTATAATTCTATTTTACATGGACTAAGCAAGGAGGGAGGTTGTATGAGGGCTTATCAGCTGCTAGAGGAAGGAATTAAATTTGGTTATTTTCCGTCTGAGTACACGTACAAGGTTCTAGTGGAAGGTCTTTGCCAAGAATCAGACCCCCACAAGGCAGGGGAGGTTCTTCATTATATGTTGAGTAAGGAAGGAGTGGACAGAACTAGGATGTATAACATATATTTGAGAGCGCTATGTCTTATGAACAACACAACTGAGCTTTTGAATGGACTTGTTTCTATGCTCCAGACCCAATGTCAGCCTGACGTGATCACCCTAAACATAGTTGTCAATGGGTTGTGCAAGATGGGGAGAATTGAGGAAGCTTCAAGGGTACTAAACGATATGATGACTGGAAAGTTTTGTGCCCCAGATGTCGTGACCTTCACAACTATGATAAGTGGTTTATTGAATGTTGGAAGAACTGAAGAAGCACTTGGTCTACTGCACCATGTAATGCCTGAGAAAGGTTTTAGCCCGAATGTCGTCACATATAATGCTGTTCTTCGTGGTTTGTTCAAGCATAAACAAGCAAGAGAGGCAATGGAACTTTTCAATCGCATGGTAAGTGATGGTGTGGCAGCTGACAGTACCACCTACACTATAATAATTGATGGGTTGTGTGACTCTGATCAAATAGAAGAGGCTAAGAGGTTTTGGGATGAAGTTATTTGGCCCTCAAAGATCCACGATAATTTTGTATATGCAGCCATTATCAAAGGGATCTGCCATTCAGGAAAGTTTGATGAGGCATGCCATTTCCTTTACGAACTAGTAGATGCTGGGGTCTCTCCAAATATTTACAGTTATAACATTGTGATTGACGCCGCTTGCAAATTAGGTTTGAAGAAAGAAGCGTATGAAGTTGTAAAAGAGATGAGAAGAAATGGACTGGCTCCAGATTCTGTGACATGGAGGATTCTTGACAAGTTACATGGCAATGCGAGGAAACAGCTTTGTGCTGAGGATTCAACTTTGCAATTCATAAATGGGCCATAGGTGAGTAAGAAAATGCGTGAAAGTGGAGAAAAGCTGAAACAAGAGAGCAGTAACAAAGAAGAAACAATGGGATCTTGTTGGCATAATGTGATTGAAAAGGTTAAAGAAACTGCAAATGAACTAGCTGACCCCCAAAACACTGTTGAAATAGAGAACGGATGGTCGCGGATGGCTAGGATTTTTTCTGCAGATCATTCATCTAAGGATGGTAATTCATAGAACTCAGGTTGCAATAAACTCAGAAGTTTTCAATTTGAGGTAGGAATTCAACATGGAGGTTAGTCTTTGTAAAGTGTTTATGTAGCATACAGATTACAGCGAAAGGATAAGAAATTTGATTGTAGGGATTGGCACACAGAGATTTATTTAAAAGCAGTAATCAAATTACGAATTCGGGATTTTCATACAAGCATATATTTTTGCAGTGTGCAAGATCATATTTTTGGATTCTGTCGTCTAGGGAATGAGGTTGCAATGGTGTATTCTACAGAAGCTAAAAACCAGCCCTCATAAAAGTACTCCAGTTGGGATTTGTTCATCAACTTTTTAAGCACCATCCATCACCCTCTTTGGAAGTTTAAAATACTGAAAAGTTGAGCCTGGCTGTTTCTGGAAAACAACTCAAGTCCAGTCTGTTTTCAGTCAAATTTTGTGGACCATTTTATTGGTCTGTCAAAATTAGTGCAAAAAACTGGACATATTGTAAGAAAAGCCAGGAGGTGTTTTTCTCTTCTCTTAAAAATCGAAAGGAGAGAAATGACTCATTGGTATAATAGTTTGGAACAATTACTCTCTTAGGCAAAGTTTTGAGTTCGAATCATAGCATTCGTGTAGTGTACCGAAAGTATAAGTGGGTTAGGTCAATTAATCAAAACAGTAAATATGCCCTGTTCAAGTTTGAGTTCCGCTCTTCATAAATTAGATTAATTTAAACTTTGTTTGTATCATTAAAAAGAGAAAACCGAAAGAAGAAACATTTAATAAAATATAAAATAAATAAATTTTTTTTTTTTTGAAAAAAGGGCCTATTTTGTGTACCACCAGCATCCATCAACTGCTGAAAAAAGAAATAGAAAGACTCCGTGCCTCCTGGTCAACATACAAAAATAGAAAAGGAAAGTCTTGATACCTTACCTACCCTTTAGCATGTTGCGCCCTGCAACAAACGAACAACTTGTTTGTTTTCTTTTTCTTTTTTATCAATCAAGCCCATCGTCATAGGCAGGTACGTGTTGCTTCTTTTTTTCATTGGGTACGTACCTTGTGGAAGGCCCAAAACCAACAGAATACGCGGTTGCTTGTCATTTTTGCAGTACTGAAACCGTGTCCAAACCGAGTGTACTTCGCTACCACTTGGCGTCGGACGCGCGAAATAATTCGTTTACTTTAGTTTGTTGAGAGAGAGAGCTTTAACGACCACCTGCCCATGTGACATGACTAATTTAAAGAAATTAATTCATCATGAAATTGAAATGAACTCTCTTTTTTTTTCTTTTTTTTTAATAACAAAAAGAAAATTCCATTTAAAGAACTTAAAATATCATCAGCATTCAGCAAAGGGAGAAATACATCTCTATCCCCATTTAAGAGGCAGAGAGATGGAGAGAGAAAAAGAGTCGATAAAATAAAACAAACAGAAATAAGGAAGTTTCTGTAGCCCATTGATTCCACGACGTATTCCTCCAATTAGAATGTTGTCGTAGAAAATCAAAGATGCCGCGTTGTCACTTTGAAATTATTCGAAATTTGATCCTAAAATAAGATTCCCTTTGCTTAATTTACCTTCGCATTTCTTTACCACAGTAATAATATGGGAGTTTTACTAAAACACCCAAAATGGGGTTGAAATTATAAAAAAACACGATTTAAACATATAAACACACCCAAAATCCATCATTACACACTCAAAACTCATTTATAAACACACCCAAAAAGTTGATTTTGGGGTTGATTTTAAGTGTGTTTCTATGTTTAAATAGTGCTTAAATTTTTTTATAAATACATATCTAAGATTAGATTTATTTATAAATTTGTATAATAGTATTTCTATTTTTTGGCCCGCTGTCTTTTTATCTCTAATTTTCCCCGCTTTTCTTGGCGGCATTTTTTTTTGGTGGCTCCAAAAAATGCCTTCCCTCCTTCCTAGCCTCCCCATGCTCCCATTAATATATTATATATACCCGACACTTCCCCCATTCTCTCTTCCATTCTGAAAACTCTATACACCAAATTACCAGAACCAAAACCACAAGTCATGGCAACCAACGGAACCCCAAGCCCAGCCCAAGCCCCAAAATCCGTCGACGCCAAGCCAGTCGTCGCCGACGAGGTTCAGAGAGTCTTCAAAAGCTTCGACGCCAACGGTGACGGCAAGATCTCCGTCTCCGAGCTCGGCAACGTGCTCAAGGCCCTCGGCTCCAACGTCTCTGCCGATGAGCTTCAGCGTGTCATGGGCGATCTCGACACCGACCGCGACGGCTTCATTTGCCTCGACGAGTTCAACGCCTTCTGGGTCTCCGGCCCCAAAGACGGCGCCTCCTCCGAGCTTCGCGACGCCTTCGATCTCTACGACCAGGACCGCAACGGCCTCATCTCGGCCAACGAGCTCCATTTGGTGCTCAATCGGCTCCAAATGACTTGCAGCCTCGAAGATTGCAATCGGATGATCAAGTCCGTCGATGCTGACGGCGATGGGAATGTGAATTTCGAGGAGTTCAAGAAGATGATGGGCAACAACGCCAGTACCGTTAGCAACACCAGCGCCTAGTGCACATGGTAGTCTCTTGTCTAATATGTTAGATCCGAATCTCCATCTCTCTTCTTCCCCCCGTCTGTGAAAGTTAAAAGTTAGGGTTGACTTTTGAAATTTAGGAAAATCGTTTTGGGAATGGGTTTTTATATACCAATATTAGATCAAGTGGATGTGAAAAAAGGATCTAACACCTCCTTTTCTTTTATTTACAGTTTCTGTGATTATATTGTGGGCTCTTCTTTTATATCACACTACTAGAAAGGAGGCAAAATTTATGTTCTTTGCTTTCTGTTTGTTTCGCGAGAAAATCCTCTCCCTTAATGAAATGTTATGACGCTACCGGTTTTGTTTTGTTATTTTATTTCGATTTGTATGTTCAAATTTGACGATGATGTTAAGGAAGCATTGGTAAGAAGAATTAGTTTTGGGCGTTGGAGAAGGAGCACAAGGCTGTGGGTGGCCCTCCCTGGTGGGCGGTGAAGCTGCTTGTGTTGTGTAGTGGGAGGGGGAGATGCGAACGTGCGTTGACGAGTCAACGATGATATTACATGGATCTGATAGTAGTGCCAGAATTCTATATTGAAGGTCGTGGGTCCGTATCTTAACTGTTGGATTAAATTGATCTAAATGTTAACAGAGCTTAAGGCCCTCACTCACTATACAACTTGTCGATAATAGTGATGGTGATTTTCGGCCGTGGTCCAAAGTCCAAACATGGTTGGGCTGCCAATTCGGCTAAATTTAGGAATTAGGATTTGACTAAAAAAGAAAAGAAAAGAAAAGGTTTAGAAATCAAAGACTAGCTTCTATTTTGTAGTGCTATTTACACTTGAAATCACTATATGGTTCCTATCTATGCAAAAAAGGAACGCCAATGTTTAAGAAAGTTTTACCAAAATATATTCAAAGCCGCAGATGCAGGTTAAACCAATTGATTAGAATGCGAGTATGCTTCCTCACGACTCAACTTCGAATTAAGGTTTTCAAGTGGAGGTTGCAGTTGCTTGCAGTGCAATAAGGCAAACTCACTCTTTTAAAGAAAATAACATGTGGTCCTCGTTCCTGAAAAATTATAAAAAACAAATGGCTGAGGCAAATTTGGCTGATTTTCATAGGGTAGGGGTAGGGCTACCATTTGTGGTCCTCTGTCCTGAAAAATATTGGAGGCAGCCGCAGAGGTTATGGTTACTTGGCTTTTCTAACCTAAAAGATTGATCTGAATCCGAATTCGATTGAGGAATTCGGTCATTAATTTGGAGGTGTCTGCCCATGCTTATCAAAAGCTTTGGATACTACTAGGACACCAGCCACCCATGACTTGGTAGGTTTAAATAAACAAGAGATGAAAAAGAAATATTTTAGATAAGATTGAACGAAAGAGGAGGGAAAAGAATCCGCGATGGTGAAATTTTTGGCAAATTCAAATGAAGCCCAAACAATTGATTGGCTTCATGTTTAAGCCCAACCCATTTCTGTAAACGGAAATGTAAGCGGACGCCGGGCTAATGTGGGCTGTCTCCTGAGTCCTGACCCTGTGGTGTCACGTGATTATGTTATGAGGTCCAATGCCAGGGTATCTTCTAATCATGCGGTGTTCGTATTAGTTTTTTGAAGAGGAAAGATTTGGAATTATTAACAAGCATCAGATCACAAGATAGATACTAACTGCTTTCGGCACCCATTGACATTCATGATCAAAAGCAGTAGCAGCAGCTGATCCGTGATTAGCTTACAGCGTGTTACAATAATAGAGTCGAAAAAATAGTAAAATACTGAAACCATAAGTGAAAAATGTTTTACCCCAATGGAATTACCCATTGGGGTAATTTTCGTGGAAGAAAACTTAGGGGTGTAGATTAAGTTTGGTCCTAGTAGTAATACGTTAATGAGACGCACTAAACTCGACAAGATGAGGGGAGCAGCCATCATGTCTTTTTCATTGTTGTCACATGTAAAGGACTCGGTACCCTCCAAAAGCAAGTGCCTTTCATTTCATTACTCTCCCTCCCTCCCCCATGCTATCGATTTAGGCTTGTTCATAGCTTATAACTTCAACTTATATATATATGATACATTTGAACACGGCTCTTCCCCAATTCTGATTTGCTTTGCCCCTTCCTTTCCCTTTCAAAACCACTGGTTTTAAGTTTTCTTGTTTATTTATTATAGATAGCTATTGGTTTAAGTTTTCATGTTGATGGCTGATTCAATTGATGAGGAGTGTGATTATCTGTTCAAGGCAGTTCTGATTGGGGACTCTGGAGTTGGGAAATCCAATTTGCTTTCCAGATTTTCCAAAGACGAATTCCGCTTAGACTCCAAGCCCACCATCGGAGTCGAATTCGCTTACCGGAACATCAAAGTGGGCGATAAGCTCATCAAGGCTCAAATTTGGGACACTGCAGGCCAAGAAAGGTACTCATCATCTTCTTCTCCTCCTCCTCCTCCTCCTTAAGTTTGATCATCTTTTTTCATTTGATCACACGATTCATATGCCAAAGAACATCATGTAAATTCAGTTGTGTTGTGTTGTGTTGCTTGGATCAACAAGTTGAACTACTACTTGTCATGTTGCTCGATTTTCAAAACTTTCATATATTGTTTTTTAAGTTTTTGTTTTCTCTTCTTCATGGATGTTTTTATGTTTCCCAGCTTTTGAAGCAACCGAATGAAATTATGGATACAGGAAACACTACTCCTCAACCGTGCCTCTCTCTTTTATCATTTGGTCCCATCCCATTAGAGTCAAAAGTTCTAATTATATCCTAATTAAATAAAATTCTCCACCCTGGTGGGGGCCGACCTTTTACCTAAAACAATGATTCCAATTTTTTCCTCCTTTTTCCTTTCTTCGAGTCTACTACATTACAAAGCTCAAAAATAGTTTGAAGTTTGTTATCTGATTCCTTTATTTGTTTCTTGGGGACGTCTCTGTTTTTATCTGATGACTATATCGCAGTTCACGAACCACCGCTATTAATATTATTATTAGGTGCTACTTAGCTTAAAACAATGGCTGATTGTTGTACTTAATACTAGGCATAATAATCAATTAATTTCAACCCTACTTTCCTGCTTTGTCAACCTTGGATTCTTGAGGTAGATAATTGTTCCTTTCATTGCACCGCAACAATTTATGCCGCAATTAAAGAAAAAGTATCGCCTTTTAACATGATAAAATAAGTGAGGCCAAGAGACATAGGATAAAGCAACATATTATGAGTACCTGTTTGATACAAGCTATATTAGAGGAGGAGAGATTCGAACACAAACATCGAGTGCATGCATAATTGCTATAATCACTTGAGTTGAACTACAAACCACCCCTTGCAACATCATCATGAGTACTGTAGTGTCAAATAAGAAAAAATCAAAGTGCATGCTCTTATTGTATTGAATATTAATGTTACATAGATTTTGACGCACGCAGATTTAGAGCAATCACTAGTTCATACTATCGTGGGGCGCTTGGTGCCATCCTAGTGTATGACATAACCCGGAAACTATCATTCGAAAATGTGAGTAAATGGTTGCGGGAGCTTCGTGAATATGGTAATTCCGACATGGTTATTGTTCTTGCTGGTAACAAATTGGATTTGAGTCACTCTAGAGAGGTTAGCGAGGAAGAAGGCAAAAATTTTGCAGAGACGGAGGGCCTGTGTTTCATGGAAACCTCTGCTTTAGAGAATGTGAATGTTGAGCGAGTGTTTTTGGATATGATTTCTAAGATTCATCAAATCACAAGCCAGAAAATTTTGGAAGCTAAACTGGATGAAACCATTCCAAGTCCAAGTCTTCATGCTGCAAAGCAAACCATCCACATTGATGACCATGAAGTTACGGCTACTAAACAACCTAGTTATTATTGTTGCTCAAATTAGATTGCTCCTCCATTTATACTCCAAGGGAGCTTCTTGTATACAAGAGTTTTGAGGTTGATTATTATTATTATTCTCGTGTGAATTTCATTTCTTACTTTTTAAAATGCCTCTCTATGTATATATATATAAAAGAGAAACATAAAACATTATATATGGGACGGTTTCTTTAAACAAACATGGCTTGGCTCCTTAAAATTGAGGAGGATTCACAACAAATAAGATAATGACACTTGTAAAATTTGAAAAGAAAAAAAGAAGTTGAACAAATTCAAAAGAAAATAAAGTTCAAGGAATTTGATAAGTGTCAAAACTCCATTTGTTGTGGTCAATTTTAAGGTGTTAAGTTTTTCCCTAAACTAAGCGGTAACCAATTTAATATGGAGCATGACTTGACTCTTTAAAATTGAGGAGGACTCCTCCTTAAAACCAATGGGGTTTTGGCCCTTATCAAATTCTAGCAACATTGACAAAGTTTCAACAAAAAAGAAAAAAGAAAAAGAAAATAATTTGACACGTGATAAAACAACGTTGGTCGTAAGGAGGAGCTACTCCTCAATCTTAAGGAGTTTCTTAAATATGGGATATTACTTGCCTCCTTCCATGTAAGGAGATACTCCTCATTCATGCCAATCATAGTTTGACACATATATAAAAATAATTCATAAAAAACACAAAAAGAAAGACTTATGCACACGTCACACTGATATTTGCTTAAATGTAAGAGTTTCTACTTACATGATAAGGGAAAGAAGTATTTTCCTTGAATATCATAGAAGAAAAGCTGAAAACTGAGGTTGTTTTTTGGGCTTTTTATATTTATATTGGCTTATACAATGGCTTTGACTTTGTCTATGTTATGTTGTGCTCGTTTGGGCTCAGGAGGATTTTAAAAGGAACCTCCTCTAGGTTCTACTTGTTGGGTTGGGTGAGCTCGTGAAGATGGCTTATGCCCATGTCAAGTCAAAAAGACACGACACAGGTAAATGGTAAGGGGCGCTAGGAATTACAGACGCATAGAAGACCTTCGAAGAAAGACAAACCAGGACATATTTGGGCATCGACCCTCGTCTAACTCCCATACCCAAGTTCATGTAACATATGTGATTGCATGAATTTCCTAAACATATGTGATCGCATGAACTTCTTAGGAAATGAGCTCTATTTGCGTAGTTAGTTAATGAGCTACTTATTATGCATATGAGAAGCATAAAATTCACATCAGAAAGCATAAAATAACTCAGTGCCTTTACATCATCCCAAGGATTGCAGAGGGCGACCTTATTGCTGAGATCGCTTTCATTTTTATCTTATATAATTGAAATGCTTTGTTGTCTGTAACAAAAGATACAATAGATAATGAAGAAGGATGCTCTTGCCCATCCTTCCACAGATATGAGTATGGGTTTTTTCGAAATCATTTGCTTTGTGGAGCTTGATGCCACAACCAATCCTCAAGTTGGAGTTTCTGTTTAAGACTTTCTTAGGGGTGCTTTTCTAGTTTTAAGACTTTCTCAATGGGCTGCTGCTTTCATAAGATACTTATAAAATATATTAATATTTAAAAAGTATTTCATTAATGAATAATTAGTATTTCAATATTTTACTGATTTCATAAATTACTTAATAAATAGCAAATATATGAACATTTTAAAAGTATAGCCACGCGGCTATACGTTTATAATTTGTATCTACTTCTTTTATAGATTATTTTATAAATGAAAAAGAAAAATTAAAAGCAGAAAAAACAAATGATCTGAAAATTTTCTCCCCATCTACATTCAGGGATGTGAACCTCTTTTTTTTCTTGAGATAATTATTCAAAAACCTATTTTAGCATGACATATTATACAAAAACTCATATAGAGCCTATTTAGATAGAAAAATCCAAAACTAGTCACTTGTTATTTTCTAATTTTTTCTTAATGTATTTATAAGGATATATTATGTCATGCTAAAATGAATTTATTAGTGAAATCCTCCTTTTTCTTTGTTTACAGAAAAGTGAAATTTGTGTTAATGTGTTAGAACCCACCAGGATAGACAATAAGCTGCAACCAAACAACCCCAAAAGCACTAGATGTTGGTTGGTCGTTGTCGTTGTAGAACACGAGCGCTAAGTCTCCCTCCCCCCAAAAATCACAGCCATTAACCCTTACGGGACCCACAAGCAACCGGTTGTTCGTCACCGAAATTCACCGAAATCAAACGGCGAGCCCATTCACTCATACTGTGTACCCGCCTGTCACTCGAGCATTTTCACCTCCACCTTCTTCCTCCTTTCAACTCGCATCGTTCCCATCCCATTCCCCCCCTCCTTCTTCTTGCTTCATCCTCTGCAACATCAAACGCTGCGTTTCAAATATAAAAAATGCACCTCGAGTAGCTCTCTCCAGAAAAAAAGAGCTAAATTAGCACGACCATGGCCAACTGGATCTCCTCCAAACTCAGGGCCGCTGAAACCATCCTTCAACAGGTACAATTCTCTTCCTTCTCCTCCCAATCTTATTATTACTTTTAAATAAATTGGCTATTTCTCTTTTGAAGAAATGAAATTTAGTCGAAATCAGAAAGCGAAAATTTACATCTTATTCATCCAAACAAAATACCTTCTCTTGCAAACTAGTCGATCTGCAATTAAAGGTTTTTTTATATATATTTATTTTGAATATTCGATCTGTTTGGAATAGTAATGTTATATGCGTGTGATTGTGAAATGGACGGTTTAGATCGACCAGCAAGCTGCAGAGTCGTTGCGGAAAAACGAGAAGCCTCTCGCCGACGACTTGAACGTGGACACTCCGACGAAAACGGGAGGCAGTGTGCCTTTGAAGGACCAGTTGAAAAAGAAAACCATAGAAAACAGTGATTATCGTGGAAAATTAACCAGCGATCCCAGTTTCAACATTCTTAATACCACCAGTAACAGTAATGATGATGATAAGAACAAGAAGAATAATAATAATATTATCAATAGGGATAAAGAGATTGTTGGAACTCAGAAACCTAAGCCTACTCTTACTGATAGTGACTGGACTCAGCTCCTCAGTGCACCTAATCAGGCAACTACTTCCACCGCCAGTCGTGGCAATGGTTTCCCAGGGGTTCGTGGTTTGAGGAAGGATGGTAGGAGGCAGGGCAGTGCCAGCTCCATTTCCAGCTTGTCGGTTTTGGAGGTTAAGAAGAATCAAAAGACTGGGAGCAATAATGTTCTGAAGTCGGGGAGGGGAGCAAGTGTTGGGGAAGGAAGTAAATTGAATGGTAAAGTAAGTGATGGGGAGGAGTCTGGCGTTTCTTTTTCGGATTCAGCACGAAGGTCTCCAACTGTTGAATTGAAGAGTGATGTTAAGATTTTGGAAGGACGAGGGTTGGATTATAGGGATATGGGATTCAACACTTCAGCAGAAACAAAAGACAAGGGAAATGAAGAAAATGGTGGACATTTTGATTCTAAGGAGCTTTCATTGGAGGGTTCTTTACAGTCGGTAAAGAAAAACGATGGCGGTTCTAACAAGAAGATAGGAGGGGAGAATGTGGGTGATCGGTTGAGAAGTACTGACAGGGGTAATCATGAGTCCAGTGAAGCGTCTAGAAGTTCTACCTCTGAGGACTTAAAAAGAAGTTTTACTTCCGTAAGTGATGGGAGCTCTGAGTCGGACTCAGGTTCAAGTTCTGATTCTGAGAGTGAGCGTGAGAAAGAGGAAAGAAGAAAGAAGAGGGAGAAGATTCTGGCTGAGAAAGCGGCAGCTAAAGCTGTGGAAGCCATCAAAGAGAGGGAAAATCTTGTTGCCAGATTAGAGGGAGAGAAGCAGAGCTTGGAGAAAATACTTGAAGAGCAAGTGAAACAACAAGCCCAAGAGGTAAGAATAAGATTACTGAGATTTTGTTGTTTTTATCATTCTTCCCAGGTTGGCTGCAGTAATCCTGTCTTTCCATTTTGTTTTAAGGCCATTACCTCTTGCATAAAATGTTATTACTCAAGTTTACCTACTTTCCTGCTTCAGGCTTCCAAGCTGCAAATGACTATGATGGAAACCATGGAAGCTGCTGATTTAGAGAAGCAGAAACACAATAACACTAGAATGGAAGTCTTTGCACGTTTGGCTAAACTGGAGGTGCTACAACCTTTTTCCATCTGATTTCTTATGCGTTTTAGATTATTTTTTATTTCATTTTGAGTTGGTTGTTTTTCTCCACTAAATCTAGAAGTAGAAGCTCCCTGCTTCTCGAACTTTTTAAGTCAGTGCTCACATATAGGGTCACTTTGTTTTCACTAAAGGTCAAAGTTTGTTGCAGGCTGCAAATGCTGACCTTGCAAAATCCCTAGCCACCGTGCAATGGAATCTTGAAGTAGAGGTATGACTATATCCTGATTCAGATGATTGCTGTGATACACCTCGGATAACCTTTTCAATTGAAGTTTTGAGCAAAAGATAATTGTCCAGTTGGTTTAATTGTTATGATGGTTCAAAGTAGTGGATGAAATAATATTGTAAAAACGTTCTGCTTCTGCTTGTCCTTAAACCATTCCTTCTAGTTCAATTTTGTGGTTTTTGAAACCCTGCTCTTTGGCCTTTTAAGTGCCTTGGATGCACTTCCTTACCTGCTGAGAGCTTACAAGTACTTTTGTGCTTTTTGACTCTCGTTAACATGTTTTTCTTGTTCTTCCTTCATTCTTTTGGGAGTCTAGGTTAATGGAGTAGCAGAACTTCGACAGCAAGTTGAGTTAAAAGAAGTGAACCACGAAGGTATGTTTCCTATTCTGAAAAAGTATATTCAATTTATGTGATATTACTTACAACTAATCTGGTGCCAAAGCATGCTCTGAACATAAAAGATTCGATGGCACCAATTGTTTTCTTGAGAGTTGATTCCAGGGTTCAGGCAATAGTAGATAGCGAATATATTGACTTCTTTATTGGCCTCATATATGGCATATAGTGTAAAGCAGTGAATAATTTGCATAAATTCTGAACATTTCAATATTATGTTGAACTCAATGTTGTGTTACTGGGATCTTGGTCTATCATTTTTTGGAACTCTTTTTTCTTCCTGTAGAACTCAGGAGGAAGATCTCCGATGCTCAGCAAGCAAAAATATCTTTAAACAAAGTAGCAGCTCCAAAAGGAGTTGAACTTGAACGAGAGATTTTGGAGGCAGAATATGCTTTTGTAACTGATAAAGTTGGGAGATTGCAAGATAAGGTCAGAGTATTTCATTATATTGTTGCGAAGTTGTGATTTTTTATTTTTCATATCTTGCCTTGATCTTGTGATCCCCTATAACCATTGAAAAAGAAATCACTTGTTACATTTCAGGCACAGAAGCTGGAAGCAAACATTGAAATGACAAGGAAAGAGATAGAGGAGCCAACAGAAGTAGAAATTGAGCTCAAGAGAAGGCTTGCTCAGATGACTGACCATTTGATTCATAAACAAGCCCAGGTTTGTGATTCCAAAATCTTTCTTAATTCCCTTGGTTCCTTCAAGTTTTTGTCTGTTCACATAAAAATATAAGACTATTATAAAATATATGGGTTTGGCTTTATCACTGACTTGGATATATCTGGAAAGAACCAGAATATATTCAAAAAAAGTCTCTGGTTTATTTTTTGAGAAACTGTCATTTATGATTCTACTTCAACCAGGTTGAGGCTCTTTCCTCGGAGAAAGCAACTCTTCTTTTCAGAATTGAGGTATGTTGATTCTACTGATAACTCTTTCGTGATGAAATTTTAATGCGCAAGATGGATCTATGCGCAGGAGAGAGGCTAATTTAATCCATGCATCCTGCAGGCAGTGTCAAGGTTGCTAGATGAAAGCAAGTCAATGACTGAAATTTCTGGTTCCTCATCAAGGGACATAGAATCAGGCAGACCTTTGTTTGAAGACAGGATCCGTTCAGGCAGGAAGCACCTGGGTTCAGCGCTTCAGCAATTGGATTCTATTTTCTTGGCCGGAGCAGTGTTTTTGAGGAGGAATTGGACTGCAAAATTATGGGCCTTGATTTACTTTGTATGCCTTCACTTCTGGGTCATTTATATTCTTGTGTCCCATTCTCAAGCTTCAAATGAGATCAAATCTGGGGCTGTCATATCCTTGGAAAACATTAATGACACTGCAGGTGTATAGTATAATATAATTTGTTTTTTAATCTTAATTTTTTTTTGGTTCATTTCCTCAGCTTTTAAGAGGTATCAGTTACCTGGGGTGTGATTTGTGCAGTTTCTCCCTATACCTAATAATACATACAGGCAATGAACTGAAATTGAATGGGTAGGCGTGTATAATTTTCACAATGAAAAATTTATATATGTTCACAGCTTGGTTTTATGTTCACTCTTTCTGCTTGCTCATAAGGATGGCGATAGAAAAATTAAGCATCAAATACAAATATTGGAAGTGGTGCAAAGCAATTGTTAGCATAAAAATCTTGAGGTAGCAGCTTGAAACGTTAATAAATAATAATAAAAAGTCGTATTCCATTCAACTGTAGTTATGATAATTCCAAGTACTACAAAAGAGTCAAGTTCTAGGCTAGCCAATCTTCAATCCATCGCTTCCTTCTACCCGGCTTGTTCTACACCTTGCACAGATGGCAAATGTCTTACAAATTTAGAACAAACAATTTGGTATGTGAGAAAATAATGCTTTCTAACAGATTGTAAACTCACCAGTTTGGCTCTTCTCGAGGAAGAGTACGACTGTAGAGAGGAAATTCGAAGAGAAAAGTTGCTTTGAACCACAAGGGCAAGTTCTTGTATATAACCGGGGGTAGCGGAATGAGAGGGCTGAAACAGAATACGTTCGTCCCAGTTACTGCAATTCATACTCAAAACAAACATATACCAAAATGAAAGCTGAAGTTAACCTAGTTGTTCTTTTGTACAGCCTATATTCGCCCACATTTCCAAACTTCTTATCCGCAGACTCCTGTTATTGTTCAAGCAGACATCATTAGCAACTCTTCAAGTGCTATGTATTTTGCAATAACATCAAAAGAAACAGGAAGCAAACCTCAAGCATCGGTATGCCGCTGATGAAAAGAAGCAATAATGTGAGAAAGATTGGTCCAAGAATCACCAGCCACTCTGCACCTTTTAATACAGGTGTGGAAGCCACAAATACTCCCCACCAAAGGAATATCTGAGCACAACATTTATCAAAGTTCCATTCAAAATTTGACAGCATGAATGCCAAAAAAAAAACATTTTGGAAATGGGTTCAGTGCAGCATCAATTCTAAGTTTGTGGCATTGAATGCCATTTCAACACTAACCTCGCCAAAATAGTTTGGATGTCGAGTGTATTTCCATAGTCCGGCATTGCACCACTTTCCCCTATTTTGTGGAGAACTTTTGAACGTCAGTTTTTGCTGATCAGCTGTAGCTTCAACTGCAAAACCCACAAACCATATGATCCATCCAATTATGTCCTCAGCTTGGAGCGATGGTGTTCTGTTGCTTGCATTAACAACTGTTACAGGCAAACTCACAGTCCATACCCAGACAGCCTGCAGAAAAATAAGGTTGCTTCAAGAATCAAATAAACTTTGTCCTTTGGAGAACAAGCAGGACACAATTAGGTCTAACAAAATCCGGAAGCAGGGAAAGGTGGAAAACCTGAAATATCCAGAAAATTGCCAATTTTCCTATATTATTACGCATTTCATCAAAACGCCGGTCCTCTCCCCATTGCAAAATCCTGATCAGGAAATTGCACGAGTATGAAAATCATGATTGGATTTTGATAAACACAAATGCAACACAAAAGAATCACAAAATAGAATCAACACAAAAGCAAGCCTGCCATTCTTTAAAGGAGAAGGTGAGAGGAAGAAACAGAAATTAACAAGATGTATGATACAATGCAAATGCTTCATTGGTTATGTACCTCATCAATAGAAACAGTCCCAGGCGAAGACCCCATATTACCACAAGCAAACTCAACACCACCTGAAAAAGAAGAGCTGCAAACTCAATACTGTGACACACACCTTAGGCATACTAAATTTGACATGAAAAAAAGGAACTATGATGAAGAAAACAAACGTATTTTTCTCCTAGGTCGATGCAGAAGAGAGAATACCTGTCTAAAATGCCATGAGCCCTTGACAACCAAAGTCAGTATAGCAAGTATAACAAAATTGGTACTTCCTGTAAAAAGAACAAAAACATAATCAGCAAGTAAATACAATTATACAAATGATGTCATAAATATATCAATCATGTCTGAGCAAGCATTTCTTGGCAACCAAACAACCCAATGATTTTCCAACTAGTATTGATATTTCTCTGTTTTTGTTGACTTGCGTTTTGATTGAGCCACCATGAAATTAACAACCAAATTCTCAGGAAATAAATTCAGAGAGAAGTATACCGGCGAAGTCAGTGATTTTGTCGAACTTGAGAAGAGCAGTGATTATGAAGAACAACAACTGATACCCCACCTTGAAGAAAAAAACCAAAAAACACTAAATTTAAAAACTTTCGAGAGAGGAAATGAAATCTAGAAGGAAAAAGAAAAAACCATAAAAGAGATAGAGAGATAAGAGCATAGTTACAGTGACAATGGCCGTGAGAGCTAAGAAATGGGAGTCTAAGACTGTTCCCATGAAATTGTACTGGGCTTGGCTTCTTGGCTTGCCTCCTGAAAAAAGGGAAAAAGCTCTATGCTTGTTGCTGAGATATCAATCCATAAAAGTGTTTGGGGTCTTTATCTTTGAATAGGAAAACTGTGCGGCTGCAATTGTAACACCATTACTTTCCTCTCTTTAGTGTTCAGTCTTGAATTTTGACCCTTCCAGTTTCCAATTTCACCGCGCGGTCCCTCTCTCTCTCTCTCTCTCTCTCTCTCGGAAAATTATTCGCCGTGACATTTGTAACACCATGCATGTGGGTCCCTCCCTCACGAAACGTGATGCATCCAGTTCCAATTGTACCTGGTCCGGTTTAACTCTGAGAAAACAAGGTTGTGTTTGGTTAGGAATTCGACAGAAGAAAAAACCACTGAGCCAAACACAGATTAAAATTTTTGCAAGATCGCTAAATTTGGTGACTGCGAAAAAAAATTAGTGCCCTTGCTTTTCTTCGTAGCCCACCAGGGTATAAAGGAAATTCTATATCCTTCATATTCGCGAAATGGCCCATGATCATTTTTGGAGAATTTTGTGTATGTTTCGGGTATGCCACGTGATTAACCGAAACATGCAAAAATTACTCATGTTTTCGTATATCAAACTAATTGCTTATTCATCCTTTTTCAGTTGAGGACAATATTTGATTTAATTAGCCTTTTAGACATTGTTAGAGCAATTATAAGCTACTCTACATTAACCTAATCTACGAAAAAGGGACAAATACACCGCCTTCACGAACTGGACTAACTCACTTTTGCTCTTCTTTCTCAATGAACATACAAATACATTCATGTGTTCCATAAAATACAAAATCTATTACAAATTTCTTTATCGATCTCGATAATCAAAATAATATACAATTAACAAAGACAAGAATATGAATATGATCATGCGGGTGCAATCGAGACTCTATCGACCTCAATAATGTAGTCTAGAGTTGCAAACGGAGGAATTTGCAGACCAGGACCTAAATCTGCACCATTCTCACCGAAGCCCAAGCTTGGAGGAACAAGCACTCTTCTTTTGCCCCCTGCCTTCATGGATCTGAGCACATATTCTATCCCTTCACACACTCCCTTGCTGTAGGGCTGCCTGGACCCAACTACCAGAGCCAAAGGCTTCTTCTCTCTCTCAAATGTATCCACAAACACTTGTCCACTGCCTTCCACTTTCCCCTTGAGCTCGATCACCACCAAGTCCCCTGCCCTTGGAGAAGCCCCCCCACCAACTCTTAACTCGTAGTATCTGTGTTGTGTCACTCCAAATAAAACAACACCATTAATTATCTCTGTCTCTGTCTCTCTCTCTCTCTATATATATAGTTCATGCTTCATGGGGAAAATTAATGTACCTTATGCCATTAGGTAGCACCACCTCTTCTTCTTTCTCAACATTTCTGCAAAACAAAAGAAAGACATAGTTGTCACAGGATATCAAATTTTTAATTGGATATAATATGTATGTATACAGGAAGAAGAAGGAAGAAGAAGTGAGATGATTAGAAACCTTGTGTTTGATTCTTGTTGGGAGACTTCAAGGCGGGTCTTAATTTGTTCAGAGACCACGCCCACTGTGAGAAAGGCAGCCCAGGCAAGGCCAGCTCCAATCCCAAACCGCCTGGTTAACGTCGAAGCTATCCAATCTGTAGAGTCAGCCTTGGTCTTGGTGCTCTTGGTGCTGCTGCTAGAAGAGGCAGCTTTCTGTTGCTCTGCTTTTACCGAGACTGGCGTTTTCGGCTGCTCCGATGAAGTTGTGCTGAGCTGCTGAATTGGTGTTGGAGAATGTGGTTGTGAAGGCAGATTTTGTGGAGGAACAGGAGGAGGCGTCTGTGATGATGAAGAAGAAGAAGAAGAAAAGTGGCTTGGTCTTGTTAGGGAGTGGGAGAGAAATGGGGAAGAACCAGAGAAGGTAGCCATTTGTTTAGGATAGCCAAGCAATGATAAAATCTGGATAAATCTGGCAAGTTAAACATAAGTAGCCGCTGGTCCCTACCCTATCCTTGTATATGATGCAAAATATAAATGGTGGGTTGCCCTTTTTTCTGTTTCTATTAAGTTGGGACCAGTTCGAAATGAAAAACAAGCAAGCCCACCGTGTTGCTACCTCTGGCATTTATGTACATCGTCGGAGATTAACCAGGATTAAGGAGCTCTTTGAAATGTAGAGAATGACCTGGAAAATTGATTCACCAAAAAGTCATTTGCCATAAACACTACTGCTTTTTATCTTTAGTTCAGGCAACAAAACTGCCAATGAATTCTTTACAAACAAATGCACAACCTTGCGAATGGCCGCACTGTTGAGAAAACAGAAATAAAGAGGAAAACATAAAAGAAGAAGATAAAAAGAAGAAAAGAAAATGGAGTATATGTTAGGTCATGTTCTTCAATCCTTTTCTCAAAAGTTGTTCCAATCAATGTACAACTTGCCTCCATCCATATTTTGGCTGTCAAATGAGCCAAATATTCAGTGGGGGTAAATTTTCTCTTTTAGCCAGCTGGGGATTCTCCAACTCAGGATGGCTGAACCTTCTCACGCCCACTGCTAGGTCTGTGCACTTGGGAACTACTTACAGGCTTCTGCAACGGTTTCAGAGTAGCCATGATCTCAGCAAACGAGGGTCTCAATTTTGGATCTCTGCAATGTTAATTACGTCAAATGTCAGGTTTGCATATCTGCCTAAATACACATTTGAATCGATTTACAAATGATAAGGCTGCAATTATCATAATAAACCGAAGAAAAAAATGCCAAAATGAATTCACATCGTTAGAATGTAATTCAATACGACTCAGCACATTATATATCATTTTCATCATATCTATTGCCTTAGATATGAAAGGAAGGAACAGACAATATCTTATATCTTTTATGCATAGAAAGATACCCAAGAAAACATACACGCAATGAGGACTGGTGTACAAGAAAACGAAAATTTAGAGAAGGAAAACTACTTTTGCAATATAAGTTGTTAAGACCTACAGAACAAGTCTAAGGCATGCCAACTGAAACCATTTTATGTTCAAGGTTTCAATATCTATTGTCCTGAACAACTAAGCAGGCATACTAAGTTTATTAGGAAATATGTATGGATGGACCAACCAAAAATATACTCACGTCTGCCAGCATTTTCTAATGAGATCTGCAATTGCAGGATCTATATCATCTGGAATATCAAGACGGCGATGTTGAAATCCAACTGCACCAACAACTTGCATTGGATTCATTCCCCCCCATGGCTGTTGCAATGTAGAGAGCTCCCATAAGATGACCCCATAGCTATAGACATCGCATCTGCACATCAAACCAAAATTTATATTTATCATAACAACCCTGTGCATGATATAAACATAAAATTAGGTGGGTGGGACGATATAGGAATACTTTTCATCGGAAGGTTCATTTCTTAGCACTTCTGGAGCCATCCATTCAGCCTGAAGGAGATATGCAAAACAAATAAGGAAATCAAATTCATGGCTTCAGCCACATGTGAGAAAGAGCAAGTTGTTGACTGCGGCTTACCGTCCCTGCAGTGGACCTCGAGGAGAGAAATGTGCTGTTCTTCATTCTTGATAATCCAAAATCGCAGACCTAATAACAGGCAGAAAATTTCACATCATGCCAAATTGGCTCTAATAGTACGTTAAATAATCTGACAAAAGAGATAAGGAACCACCTTCACAACCCAGTTCTTATCAACAAGAAGATTTGGAGACTTCAAATCACGGTGTACTATTACTGGAGTGCAGTTATGCAAGTAATTCATTCCCCGAGCCTGAAGTTTTATTATTGAAAACACAAAAAATATGCTAGATGAAGTTATCAATTACAGCACATGATTGTTGACTTGTACTGGAATTAAAGGTAAGAATGAGAGAATATTACAGCATCAAGAGCCATCCTCAAGCGTCTTCGCTCATCTAATTGATTGTTAGGCCGGTGTATTAACCTATATAAACTACCTCTGCAAAACATGACTTATACATCATTTTTCCATTTGACATGATTAATCAAACTCAACACAGTGCAGTTTCTTATTACACGTAAAAATATAGACAAATATCAAAATAAATATCTATAAAAATAAAAAAGTTGAACTCCATAAAAGAATGTTAGACTTTATTATAAAAGGAAATCGAAAGTGCCAACATACCTTGGAAGAAATTCTGTAACAATGGAAAGATTTGGAGCACGAGTTATTGCACCCATGAAGAGAACAACATTGGGATGCCTGAGTCTTTTCATTATCCGGACCTTCAAATTAAAAATAAAATATAAGATTGAGCTCAATATATAAATCTCTCATACGCAAAAAGTATAGCGTAAATAATCAAAAGTTAAATCAAGAAGGGAACTGCATTAGGCATGTATTTTGGAAGAGGGGGCAGGGAGAGGGGGAGGGGGAGGAGGGAGTGGGAAAGAGAATAACTGAACTATCTACTCTTCAACTTTCCCTGACAGATATGGCCAATTTCAAGGTGCCAACAATATTAGATTTCTCATCCCGGAGATCATAATTATTAAATCATCAAAAGAGAAAAAGAAAGATTCTGGAAAGCACATTAAACAATGTGATAGATTTCTGTAAAGACACTAATAATAATCTCCACTTCTTTTTGCCCCCTGAATGAAGGACTGAACATAAAATAGAAAACAACTTCAATGAATTTAACCAAACCAATCTCGAAGACCTAAAGTGATAACTGTGATATTTTATAAATATACAAGCTTCTGTAACAATGGATCTTAAATATGGTACATGATGGTTAATCAAGCTTGGTATTTTTCCAAAAGGAAAACAAATCACTAGATGAATGCATGCCAAGGATGACATGAATTCTTGGCCACGGCTGCACCCAGTAAGAATTATGAAGGTTTTGCTTTTTAAGGAGATAATATGCATAGATGACATAAAATCAGAGAACACCAAAAAATTTCAGGAAATGGGTGAAGTCCACGGCTTGTACCTCACTTCTGAATTCATCCAGTGATTCGCCCAAAAAGTCTTGGTCTAGAAACCTCTTTACAGCAACCTCCTGTAAAACCAATTAATGAAAATAAGCTCAAAGTACCACATTGCATGCAGACAGTGCCACGCTGTCTTCACAAACAAGGTTATCTTTCAGAAATAGCATCTGAAAACTTACAGTCCCATGCCAGTCTCCATGATAGACCTCCCCATATGATCCTGCAGTTTAAACGGTGCATTACACTTGAAATTAGAAGTGGAGTATGGGAACCATTTAGAGTTAGTCTTGTTTATATATGAGAAGTACATGATTTTATAGCAAAATGCAGAGGTCAGTACCAAGTCCAATACGCTCACCCAAGGTGATATCCTCCCATGGAATCTCGCAATCTGCGACATCATCAATTGTAATGTCAGATTTTGTACTGTCATTACCTGCCGATCGATCTGATGTTCTCTCGCCTTCCAAATTAACTCCAAAAGCATCATGACGGTCACCACTGCCCCGTGGTTCATAACTAGAACCTTCTGCATCTCCATCACTTCTCATGCCCTGGTCATACTGCTTACTGACAGCTGCAGTTGTTGCAACCACAGCTGCAGCAGTAGCAGTTGCAGCAGCTGCCACAGGAAGTTCCAGATTTGAGTCAGTGCTTGACTTTGCTGCAGCAACTACCATGGAAGATGCCACAACAGCTGCTGCTGCGGCTGCAGCTGCAGCAACGGGGACATTTTTTGTATACTTAGATGGAGATACTTCAGACTGGCCAGTTACTTCCCTGGTATCAAGTGGAAGGGTGACCCCTAAACCTTCCATGGGCTTAAGATGCTCTAGTTGACCTGAAGGACTAGCTTTAAAATGCACCCTGTGCTGAGGCAGAGGAGGCAAAAAGTGAGCTGGACTTTTATCATCTTGACCTTTAATTTTTTGTGTTTCAAACCTCTCTTTATTTTCACCTATATCTTCTGGCCGGGGCTTGGTCTCAACTGTTGACACATCTAACTGCTCTGGATATATTTCCCTAAACAAGTTTGGGGGAGCAACAACACCACTTTCAAGTAACACGTCATGAAGTTTTTGAGCTAGATGCGGATTCTCTTTGGCAGCAACAATCATGTATTGAGAAACATCCTTAACCTTCATTCTTCGAGCAGCAGGAAAGCTAACACCTTCAGTCCATGAAGGGGATCTTGCATGTGCAAAAGGATAATTTGGCCTTCCTGGAAGTTCCTTCACCAGCGCCTTCTCAGAATTAGAGGGATATCTAAATTCATCTGAAGGTATCTTGGATTCTTCCCCACGTTCAGTTGGTCTGGGTAGATTTGCACGAGAATTTGGTTCTTCTCTCTCTTCAGAATCCCTTGCTGAAGAAGCAAAATTTCTTAACCTGGATTTCTTGTCTAATGTTCCAAAGTCTGAATGTTCTTCAAACGAACTCCCAACTCCACTACTGGAAGAAGCAACATGAGAGGAATCAATGTCTCTAGACAAAGGACTGGCAGAAAAGTAAGATTCGTCATATTCTATATGTGATCCAGCTGCATCAGATGGAATAAGTGTGCCGGGGTCTGCCATCAGATCAACAATATACTCCCTGAAATTCACATTGTACATACCTTCATAAACAAGTTAAGATTCTGCAACTTCAAATGAGAAAATCTCAAAGATACACATATTAATGGCCTGAGAACATTTTCAGCAACAATTGTCAACTAAAAAAAATCCAAAAATGCATAAGTAATCCTATTATGCGGTTTAGAAAACAATAATATAACACACACAGTCTACATCAAAAGTAATAAACTTGTAACATAAGTTACCTTCCATCATCAATCTTTACAAAGTTCATCGCCACATCATTGGAGCCCGTGTATTGTTGTCCTTTCACCAACCGGCATGGGATGCTCACACTATCAGCCAAAGCCTTGTTGGTTAAATAGAAAATCGGATTAGTGATGAACAAACCACTAATGGAAGACCATGAAACTGAAAACAGGGAGGCAAACAGATAAAGTATATCCAGGAACAGAGCATATATGCCACTCTAGATAATCGTGTTCAAAAAGCAAAAGAAAAAGGGTAACGCTGTTAAAATTCTCATAAATTTATAAGATTTAGCTTTTGAAATATAATTTAATATCAAAATTCAGAAATATTGTTCTATTTTTATATTACTTCAAGCTTTTTATTAATGTATGGGCTGAAGGTTGGTAAAAATAATAATGTGATTAGAAAAATACAAAAAATAGGGCCTTGATTAGGACCTATTTTAATATGTATACATATTATCATGCCTCATTAGGGGAAAAAAATTGGTTTTCAATATGAATAAAACAGAGAGCAAGTACCTTGAACAACAATGCACGATGACGGGCCAATCCAATTGTCAGAGAACCAAGTGGCAAAACCATGCTACCAATGGTAGCTTTCAAATTGTAACTAAGACTTTGCCATGCTCTCAACATGTTGTCAGGATCCGCAACTGGTCCACCCATGTAGTCAGCAACTAAAAGAGCAAGTTTGCGCACCAGATTTTTGTTTACAAAAACCAGAGGATCTGAACTTGACTTTACAGCCATTTCTAGGGCCATCTGTTCAAGTTTCAACAAGTTCGCATCAGCAGCTCTGTTGACTAAAACTGCTTCCCAGGTGACACTATCTGAAACAGGTGTTCCTTGCAGATCAACAAGAGAAGGCATTCTCTCTGAGGCTGACTCCATCAATATCCCATACAGATCATAGAAACCATCCAAGATCTTGTCATCATAGCTAAGAGCATTGTAATTCTGTGAAGAATGGATAAATCTACGATATGAGACAGGTTAGAAAGGAATAAAATATTACAAAACTGAAGAAACAAAATTAAATCTAAGAACACTGCCATACATCATTGCTCCCATATGTTTAAGATGTTATGTCTTAGAATATCAGGGAAAGATTCATGCACAGAAAATTCTTCCGATTTGCCCCATCTATTCTGTCACATGTGCCCTAGTAAAAATAATGCATGATACATGTTTCTGAACTACCTTGCCTAATGTTTCTGATATATCTACAAGTGCCAAAAAAAAAAAAAAACTACCATTCAGAAAGCATGCATTCTAGCTAGTTGCATTCCAGTCGCAATGGAGGCACAATTCTTTTCTTAACAATATGTGATCAATCATTAGACAGAAAGAGGTCAACAACATTTCAATATTTTACAGAGTATTATTTTAAGTATCCATCTTCTTTTCTCAAATATAGAAGTTGGGACTGAAAGTCCAATGTGAAATTGCAAGACAGACATCACCTCTGTAACAGAGCTCTTGTCTCACCACATGCAGTTAGAGAGACCATATGTACAAAATGGAGCTCAATCTTAAACAGACATTTTTTTTATAGAACACATACATGAGCTTTTAGATTGACAGGTTCAGTTTTAAGTATAACCAAGTCAATGGGCAGACAGGACACGAATACTCTAGTTTTGGATGTTCCTCGAAATGCTAGGAATCTATCCATTCCTTCTCAAAATTTAGCAGTGATAGATGTAGATGAACACAGCACTGTTGATGATGAGACTATCAACAAAATTTTTTAAACTATTGATAACAGTCGTCTGGTTTCTCTTTATCACAGGTAATGAAGAGAGCAATTCAAGGACAAGGAGCAATGATGGTGACACCGAAACCTTTCCATAAAAAAATTCTTAACTCTTTTGGCAGTGAAGGTAACCAAAGCCTAGTAATTAGAATCCCTATCATCTAAAACGCATGTTCATCATGTAAAAAATTTAAGAGAACGAAAAACTGAAAAAGAAAGTTTAAATCTATGGAACCGTATAGTTTCAGGCAGCCACATCATTAACATGCCACAAGAAGAAAGTTGACTAGACCAGATAAATTTCAAATATGGATTAAAATGAACGGACGTTGATCAATTATTCACTTTAGATGATTGTACGTGGAGATTGCAAACAATAGACGTAACAACAATAAGTCAACCAAACTTCAGTCAGATTAGCGGATGAAGAGAAACTTACCCAATAACGGTAGGCAATAACTTCAGCTGGGGTATTATCAGGAGCGCAAGAGCCCAAGCTAATCTGCTTAACAGCCTCAATCTGAACTGCTTCTGGATCCTCCCGAGCACTCAACTCCAAAGCCAGTTGAATCTGATACTCTTCCGCTATGTCAGCGTCCTTTGAGGTACTAGACCCCGAATCGCGCCTAGCTGTATCTGAAACAACGTCTAAACCACTCCTACTAGCTGCATCAGGTGGCTCCATTCTCTCTGCCGCCCTAGCGACATTTGAAGATGATGGGGGACTAGGGCTATGTCTATTAGAAACTGAATTCAACCAACCCGATAGCCCCGAAAAGGTTTTGTGCTCAGAGTTATGATGGGACCTTGAGTGCAAAAGCCTTTCAGTTTCAGGGGACGACGACTTATCAGTAGACTTATTGCCCTTTGATGAAGCAGACCCTTGTGCATCTTCTGATTGATTGGACATGATATGGAGTTTCTTAAGAAGGTTCTTCATATTATTTCATAAGTTACAATATCGAATGCGAAAGCAATAAAAATCTGGCCACAAGCATCTCCATTGTCTTGGACCAAGCATGAAATCTGAAGCACTCTATCACCACCACAAAGCAAACAAGTTCAAAGTAATCCAAAAAACCCTTTTTGCTCAACACTTAACAGCCCCTTTAAAGAGTTAAAACCCCACAAGTGACCCGCAACCAAACCATCACATCCAAAAGCCATAAACCACCATCCCAAGCAATACCCAGTAAAGCTTTACCAATTTCAACAATCCCAGATGCTTAGATTGAACCAGGCCACCCTGCTTCCCACATAGCCAAAAACCCCACTACTGTATTTCAAGCCACAAACAAATACCAAAACTAGCAAACACAACACGACTTTATCAAATATCGAAACTTTGATCCATGTTACCTTCAAGCAGCATAATTTCCAGAAAATAGAATCCCCAGCTGAGAGAAATGGATCTTAATCTGTATTCATAAACAAAAAAATAAGGAAAAGCATAGAAAAGAGAGAAGGGTATTGGTAGAGTTTGAAATAAAAAATAATAAAAAAGGGGGCAGGTAACAGAGGCAGAGACAGCAAAGACCAGCAAGTGGGAGAGTAGGACCTCGAAAAGAATGACCCACTTGAGTTGAGAGGAAAGAAAAATTAAGTTTTTCAAGGATTTTCAGTCCCATAAAAAAGGTTAAATTGGTGGGAAACACTAACACAAGTTCACAACCAGCTGCTTATTTGCTGGTTCACTCACTCACTCTGTCTGTCTCTCTCTCTCTTACATATCTATGTATATATATATATATATATATTGGGTTTTCCTATTGAAAAACTTGGTCTCTCATTCAGTCTTTCTGTTTGGAAGTCCCCAAAATGCAAAATCCAAAGGGTGGTGGCAAGAGTTGGAAAGAGGTGATAAAGTTAAGGGACTGTAGAGAAAATGGAATATAGAATGAACAGAACAAATTGGACAAGTATTTGCTATTGCAAGCAAAATAAAGGTCTTGTCCGTTATGATAAACGTCGCTTTTCTAGCTAAACGACAAAACCCACTTCAACTGGAAGTGAGAAAATAAAATAAAAATTCACTCTCCCAAGTCCCAACTCCTAACTGCAGATTAGGTATAAAATCCATTGCTTGTAGCCGGCTTTTGTTGATGGCTGCCGCATTTACAATTTCCCATAACGTTCAGTAGGGGTCATTTAATCTTTTGTGTTTCTCTTTGGTGGTTTCTTCTTTCTTTTTTTATATTTTCTCAACTGTATCTGTTTAATGTTTGACAATATTATTACTTTTGTTTTTATTTTATTCTCTTTTCTCTTTTGTTCACAATAATTCTTCAACACCCTCATCTTTGTTGGAGAGAGTCATTGTATTGTATTTGCGGGCCATAGGAAAATAAAAGTTGGTGTATTTTGGAAGGGAGGAATTATTTATTTGTGTTGACACAATGACCACAACCTAGCCAGAGGGATGAGGCTACTATGCCAATGCATAGTATACTATAGTGCTTATAGGCGATTCGATTGATGATTGAAGCAAAACTGAACTGAAATAGGACAAACATAATCAGTTAAGTTGAAAACCAAATGGATTGGTTTTTAAAGAAAAAAAACAAAATAACCGTCACGAATGGGATGGTAGTTGAAATGTTCCCCCCTTTTAACGAGGAGTGGAAAAATCAACTTCCTTTATACCTATGGAAAAAGGTTCGAAACCCCATGATACTTTGGTAGTGTGTGTGAGAAACTCCTATTAACTTAACCACATGTTTAGCAAATGTAGGGTTTTATGCAAAATGCCTCAATGATATTAGTAGTGGAACCATTCATTATATATTGTATTTTATTTAGTCAAATTTCCGATATGAGACTTATATTTTTCAACAACCCCTCATCTTTGTAGTTTAGACAATCGCTTGTCTTTAAAGAAAAAGGAGAAATTACATGAAATGTCACTACTTAGTATTAAGAGTCATATTTAGATTCCAAATTTTATAATGAGTTACCCTATTCTTATTTTTTTTTTTTAAACAAAAAGTTGATATTAACAAAAACCATATTCTCTCCCAAACCCTAATCCCCTCTCTCCCAAAAACCCTTCTAGAGCCATTTTGTTCTTCCTCCCCTCTTCCCTCTTCTCTAACTCCCTCTCTTCTCCCCTCATTTTCAGAGACAAAAAGTTTTCCCTCTTTGCATTCGTTTTGTTATGATTTTCTTCCAACCATCACAGGCAGCTACGTCTCTACATAGAATCTCGACCTGCGTTTCAGACTTGAATCTCCACTACCATCATTTTTGCGGTTTCTTTATGTTCAAAATAACTCAAATAGACTCTTTGGGTTCTCTGTGAAGTTTTCACCTCTTATTTTGTAGAGTTTTTCACCTCTCTTTTGTGAGAGTTTTTCACCTCTCTTTTGTGAGAGTTTTTCATCTCTCTCATTTGTGAGAGTTTTATTTGTATTGTTATAACTTGGTTTTTTCAAGCTTTATCTCTTTTTGATTATTCTGAGTTTGCAATCTGCGTGATTGTTAGTGGAGGCGCACCAGATTGTCTTGATTTTGGTGTTAGACCGCTCCGTTATTGTAATGGTCTTTTGTTGCTAGTAATTTTTGTGGGTGAATTATGAATGCAATCCTAGAATTTCTATAATTTTTTTTTAAAAATCCAAAATTTTTTATTCCCTCTTATAATTTCGTTCATATTCCTCAAATTTAGTTTAACAAATCCACTATTATATTGAATATTATTTGATCAACAGCTGGAGGTGGCCTTGACTTGTGAAGCGTACATGGGATATGCCACTCATGATCAATAATATAGCGTAACTTTTACGAGAGGCGCCGTACAAAGATGGAAGGATTCAATTTTGGTCAAAGTAGAATGAGTGAAACAGGATCGCAGTCTGCGGCTGAGTCCAGCGTTAATTAATCAAGGAAATCAAGTTTTGATTGTTGACCAATGATACTATTGGACATGCATAACATCTCTGTTTCTGTATATATATACATCAAATCAAATCTAACTTCTCTCTCTCTCTCTCTCTCTCTCTCTTTGTTTTTCGATCAAAATGACAATGACTTAACGCATATATATATATATATATCGATCGAGAGAGAGAGAGAGTAGCTTTTCAAAGGTTTCTTGTGGCTTATGAAAAATGATTAGCTGGAGGAAGCCTATTATTTTCCCAAGCTCTGATCGATGCATATACCTTTACAGCGCCAATTTGCGTTTTATATATCACTCTCTTTTTTATCCACATTAGCTTTGCCTTTAGGAAGGAGAGGAGGAGAGGAGAGGAGATGACGACGAAGAGAAAAGTTGTTGCTCGGGTCAGGCTCAGGGTCAGGGATCATGTAGTCTGTAGATATAGATAAACCTTTTTGCTTTTGTCTTATTACAAATGCCCTATTTACCAGGGATCATCATCATGCGCAGCTTCTTCTCCACCTCTCAAAATTCATGAAAACACACATCAACTTTATATTTTCTTTTTTTACTTCATTTAAATTAAAATCCCGTTTTGTATCAGGTTCAGATCAGAACTACGTATTAAACCCTAATTTTTCATGGTTTTATTGTGTTCAAACGTCAAATCAAGCAAAGTTATTAGCTTGAGGGGTCGATATGGACCACATGGTCCCATGCATGCCCGCACAGTTCCAGCAATCCCCTTCCTCATAAATCAACCAACAGCAACAGTAACAGCAGAGCCTCCTTTCTGGAATTTATTATTTTTTCTTTTTTCGAAATAATTTGAACCCAATTTCTTTTCCCTTTATTCTTACTTAGAATAATGTTGGTTTGACCCGTCGTTGTTGTAGACTACGGCTAAAAACCCAAAACAAAGAAGGAAATGAGGAAACGTAGGCACTAAGATATAAACCCTATAAACACGTTTGAGTGAGTTTTGCGTTTGGCATATTATGTAGAGATTATTTTCTCTCGACTGCTTTATATTTACACGTCATAATAATAAAATTGTCACGTTTAATTAAACTATAAATCTTGTGGAAAAAACACGGCTGCATCACAGATTCACATGCACAATATAATATGATTAACCTCGGGTTCGATTAGTTAGATTGTCAATTATATAGTTTTATACGCCCAGAAATAGAAAAATATATTCCTTATTTTTTAATTCATGAATTCTGAATTATTAATTATGTATAAAAGTTGGAAGAACGTCAAGGTCCCAAATCGTGGGCATGGAGATTGAAGACTGGATCATGGGCGGCTTTTCTTGTCCTGAGCTTTTAATGTGAAAAGTAAAATTATTATTGCTTTATAAAAAAGTTTGGTAGTTGCTTTCTTTCTTTAAAAAAACAAGACAAAATAAAACCATTTGGGATTTTTTTGGGGTCAACAAAATCATTTTGTTTCTTGGGGAGGCCGTGTCCTCCAATAATAAAGAGGTTGAAAGGCGCGTGGAAAAATTTGGTTGAAGAGTCCTCCTCCTTCTTCTTCTCTAGTTTACACTATCATTTATAATAAACAAATAAAAAAGTCGCCGTTCCTTACTTATTTCTATGGTTATCCAATTGTAAAAGGAGTTGAAAGTGGGAGTTCCCAATTCCATGACTCCGATTGGACCGTGGAAGCGCGTTGCCTGGAAACGTTCATATCGGTGGAGGTGAGGTGGAACCAGTGGGTTTCTACCAGTCCATTACGGAGGACAAATCTTTTTTGTATTATGAAAATTTTAATTTCATAATGTTGGATTCGACGGATATGGACCAACAGTATATTACTATTCACATGAGATATGAAGAAATGAATTTTTATATAGTTTTAGTATGAGAAGTGAAGAATATGACTAAATATTTATTAGGTTTTTTAGGTTTTAGACATAAATTTTTTTTCACTTTTAGAAAAAGCCAAAGCTTTTTCAAAAAAGACAAAAAAACTACTCAACTTTCAAATCAAAGACATGCAAATGTATTGGATTCCTTAGGAAATCTAAAAATAAATAAGGGCATTTTTGTCCATAAACCCTAAACCCTAAACCCTTAAAAATTCTGAAATTTAACCCTCACGGGTTGGCCTAGTGGTAAAGGCGTTTCCCAGACCCTATGTAAACGGGAGATCCTG